GCGTCCTGGGCCGTTCTTTTACGTTCTGGGGGCTTCTTGGGGTCGTCTTGGGCGTTTGGGCGGCTTCCCCGGAGGCTGGGAAACGCGGTACTGGGAGGGTTCCGCAGATGTTCCGGGAAGGTGTGGGACCCCCGGGGGCGGGGGGCCTCGAGTTTTCCGATGGAGGCTCCAAGAGAGGCCCAAGATGGCCCCAAGAGGGCCCCGAACATTTATGTACCAACTGAGGGCCCGGCGATGACATCAGAATTGCCGTGGCCCTCCTTGGGCCTTCTTGGTAACTACTGCGGCCATTGTCCGCGCGAGAACGGCTGCGGCGGTCGTTCTGCGAAACTCGGCCACACGTGGCGGATTTCGGAAACCCTGGACCCGAAAACATGTTCAACTCTTGGGGGCGCACACTTCACTTCCGCCGCATTCCGCCGCCCCTCCGCCGGCTCGCGCCAGAGGAGGCAGCCTCGTCCCCCCTCCGCCGCCCTTCCGCCGCGGAAGAGATGACAACTCCTTCTATCCTTAGGTCGGGCATGTCCCCCTACAGGGGCACTTTGGAGGAATGAATAAAGAATACCCAATCAAATACTCCCAAATGGTCAAAAAGAGTCACCAAAAATCGTCCCCCGACTCGTTTTTTACTACTTTCGAATACTTCTCTCGTAGAGGGACAGGCAGGACTTACTTCTGTCCTCGCAGGCAAGGCCCTTTTTTTGACACGCCGCACGCGAGGGCGACCTCCAGCAGGAGCGACCCCTCGGAGAGCGCGACCCTCGGGGGCCGCGGGGGGAGGCCCCGCCGGGGCGCGCATGCCGCTGCCATCACGCGTCGCCCCCACCGGTCGGGTGGCACAGTGGGGGGTGACCCAGGTGGGGGGCGAAGGGCAGGGCTGGACCCAAACGCTGTTTTCCGTGTAGCTCTCGTGCTGTTTGTCGTTCTGCCCTGCCTGTGTTCCCGTACCTCCCTCCCAGAACGAAAAGCAAAGCACGGCCGAAGTGAGTCCAGCAAAACAGCGTCTAGGTCCAAGACGCCCAAGGCGGCAGCGTGTGCCCAAGACGCCAAGGCACGAGACGTGACAGACATGACTAGAGGTCAAAACATCCCCCCACAATAACCTCCCCGACACGCGAAGCCGTGTAGTCAACGCACCCAAAGAAGGATTCAGACAGGGCAGGGCTGTTTCGTAAACGCCCAGGGCCGTGTAGTAAACGCCAGTTGCCGGGTCTGGGTGGTTTTTCCTCCCTTGACCAATTGCCACCAGCCCGAACTCGGCCGTCTGGGGGCCCCGGTGCTTCGCGCCGCAGGTCACTCCGCCGACAGCTTACCCTTGCGCGTTGCCGAGGAAGCCAGCTGCTCGGCCGCCAGTGGGCGGGCCGCAGCAGGGCAGCGGGCGCGCCCGCGGGCCCGTGCAGCACGGAGGGGGTCCGTGCAGTGCGAGTCGCGGCGGAAACAGCAGCTCGTGCCCTCTGCCGGCAAGGAGGAGCCGCAGGCGCGGCTGTGCGAAGACAGGCACTGCGTCGAAGTGGAGTGCCAGCCTGCGGCGCCCGAAGGCGAAAGCGGCCCCAGAGGGAGCCCCCAGGCAAGGGCAGCGGCAGCTGGACCTGTCTCAGATCGAGGCTGCGAGTGCGAAAGCGCTGGAAGCAACACACACGCACACACACACACTTGTGCTGTCGGCGGCTGGCTGGATCAACGCAGCGAGGCCTTGGGCGGGACACGCCTGGGTCAATCACCAGCCGGCGTCGCAGCTGGAGGGTCATGGCGAAGTTGACGCGTGCAGTGGGACGAAAGGGCCGAGGCGGATGCACGTGGAAGATGCCGCAGCCATGCAAGGCGGCGCGGGTCGACCATACGTCAAGTGCAGGGTAAGACCCACGTAAACTCCAGAAACACACACGAACACACACACACACACAAAAAAAAAAACATACACACACAGTAACACACTCACGCACACGCAAATACGCACACACACACGCACACACACGCACACACACACGAACACACACACACACACGACAACAACAACAACAACAACAACAACAACAACAACAACAACAACAACAACAACAACAACAACAACACCACCACCACCAACAACAACAACAACAACATCAGCAGCAACAACAACAACAACAGCAACAACAACAGCAACAACAACAACAACAA